CGAAAGACTAGAAAATGGTAACACTGCATCTATTTTATAAATGGCTGATCTTTTCCACAAAAGGACACTATCATATATGTATGCTTGTTAACCTAATATACAAGTTAACACTCTCCTTCCCCAGACAATTAAAAAAACCCACTTCCAGATAAGGACACGATGGATCCACCCAGAAGCTGCAATACAATCAAATTTCAGTAAGTTCTTAAACCTTCTTCAAATATTTCCATGAAGCTACATTTGACTGACAGGTTTCCTCAATTTCCTTGCCCAAAGCTTATACACATGGGTAAGAAGACAAGTAACAGCAAGCTGAATGATTAAATATTACTGCCCCTAAAACCTAAACCTACCAGGCTCAAGTAGCTGACTTCTGCTCTGGAAGACCATCATCTGTCAGGCACCCTCTTGTGTTGGGGCCCCAGAGCTGGATACAGTACTGCAGGTGGGGTCTTACGAGAGGGGAGTAAAGGGACAGAATCAGCTCTCTTGACCTGCTGGTCATGAACTAAAACACCAAAAGATATCAAAAAATCTAAGTTCTCCAACTGTTGATTTGCTCTCTTATCACCGAAACTATGGCAAGAAGTGAAGGTGCAGATAAGGAAAGAAACAGTGCCTTATAATGGATTATGCTAGGTTTTTGACTTTTTTCCTGAAGCAGCTCCTAAATGTCATTAACAAGGAGAAAGCCTTAAATCATGAAGCTCTTAACTCTCTGATTCAGTAACCCCTATACTTAGACAAAGCAGTTATTACAGCAATATTTCTGTCTGATACAGAAAACCTTTTGCATCTTTTTTAATCAACTCAAATATTAAGTCTTCCACAGATGACATATTACATTACCCTTCAAGATTAGCAACAAAGTCAAGCCTACCTTGTAGAAGAACTTCTTGGCTAGTGTATGCACAAGAATGAGACTAGCTGCAGCCGCAGTGCCATACAGAAACACAGAAACATAGAAATGGGTGTACCAAGAAAGAGACCGTCCAATGACAGAGACAAACACTGCCACCATAAGGACCGTCACCAGTGTGCAGATCCAGCTTATCAGTGTTATGCCAAATGCAGTAAAGAATTTCTTCAGGGTATGAATATCTATGAAGAAGAAAACAGAAGTTTCAACAGTTTTGTATTCTACTGCAGACTATCATCAAGACTGTAGTTACTCCACAGTGTGATTGCTTTAATAACAAAAATAAACCTGCATGAGGAGTCCACTCTGAAGATTTCTCAGCAACAGTCTAAATCATTTTGCCTATTACTTTGCAAGTCTTTTTGAAGTCTTCCTCACTGCAAGATCTATTCCCAGGCTAGTAGTGTATTACGTGGATCACCATGTTCCCAAATGTAAAAATTTTGCTAGGGAACCAGCTGATCCACTCTGCCAGTTATAAAATTTCAAAACCAAAATAAAACCAGAGTTGCTTTTCTTGTAACTTTTTCTTACTTCAAAGATGTTTGCTGGATTTTGTGGGGTGGTGTTGGAGGCTGTGTTTCTGTTACATTTTTATTTTCTTTAGCAGGTATGTTCCTACACATACCTGAAAAGGTCTAACTAGAAGATTTCAGTTGTTTTATACCCTTTATTAAGCTTTGTTATCTTTTTCCCCAATCCTTCTTTTCTCATTTGCTTCTGTCTACAGATGTGTGCTAAAGAAACATGATTCTGAAGCCCTACCCGTGCTAACAGAATTTCTGTAGATAGTAAGTTTTTTTTCATTTTCAGATCTTTCATAGGATTCTATTTTAATCTTTGTGAAAGGGTGAGAGACATGATGATTCATAAGTGCTAGACATCATAGACCCTCATAATCATTCCCAGTTGAGAAATATAGATACAAAGGAACTTCTATGGCATGCTGCACACCTGAAATTTATTTCTGAAGTTCACCTGAACACTTCTTCATCTACTAATTGTTATTCATTAAAGAGTAATGGGATTGATTTTTAATTTTTTCCACCAAGAACTAGACTTACCTCTGGTTTTGGGCTGTATTACTTTCTTGCTTAGATAAAAAAAAGCAGTAACTGCTGTAATATAGTTCATGATAGTGCCAACACGAGCAGGATAAGCCAGGACAAATAAGCCAAGTACATCAAAGAACACAACATTTCCATGTCGATACTCAAAGGATTTAGCCAACTTATCTGATGTTGCTAGATATTTCAGGACTGCTAGAATATTGTCGCCTATTGAAAAAGCAAATGCACAACATAACTGTATCAGGGGTGACGAATCAGCACACACCATTTTTTAAATGTAAGCATTCTTAAAAAAACCCCAGAACTGTACTGAAATATCCTCAATGACATGAGCATACAACTGATTACTGTGAAATAGGTATTCAATGGTAGGCATAGCATAGTATTTTCATGAGCTGACCTATACAGCTAAAATAAGTGTACTTGAGAAGCTTCATGTATCTGAACACTGTTGCAATGAAAGGGGCAGTAAAGCATTCAGCCCTTGAGTCACAGAATCACAGAATAGTTAGGGTTACAAAGTACCTTAAGATCATCTAGTTCCAACCCCCCTAAACCATGTCACCCAAGGCTCTGTCCAACCTGGCCTTTAACACCGGCCAGGTAAAGAGCATTTAGTGCTTCCTTGGGCAACCTGTTCCAGTGCCTCATCACCCTCACTGTGAAGAACTTCTTCCTTATATCTGAATTTCCCCCGTTTGAGTGTGAACCCTTTACTCCTTGTCCTACCACTACAGTCCTTAATGAAGAGTCCCTCTCCAGCATCCTTGTATGCCCTCTTCAGATATTGGAAGGCTGCTGTGAGGTCTCCACGCAGCCTTCTCTTTTCCAGGCTGAACAGCCCCAACTTTCTCAGCCTGTCTTCATACGGGAGGTGCTCCAGTCGTCTTATCATCCCTGTGGCCCTCCTCTGACTTGCTCCAACAGCTCCATGTCCTTCTGAGGACACCAGAACTGTACACAATACTCCAAGTGAGGTCTCAGGAGAGCACAGTAGAGGGGCAGGATCACCTCTTTTGACCTGCTGGTCACACTTCTTTTGATGCAGCCCAGGATACAGTTGGCTTTCTTGAGGTCTGATATTATGCACTGGACTTCACGGTTAACCCACAGAGGAGTTTACAATTTCCCAGTCTTCCTCCTTTTCTCCTTGCCATTAGTAACCCCTACATGTTTCAATAACTATTAATTACCTGCCTTGCTTTCCCGAGATGACTGTAAGATAGGAAACAAGGAGGTTTCCTTTGTAGGATACGAGGTACCAAACAACTTTTTCTTTCCCAGAGTACAGCAAAAACACGTACTTAATTGAGAACAGTAGTGTTTCTTAACTTTCATTTTGCTTCTACTTGACCTGTAAAAGTGCTTATTGGCTGAAAAGGTTGTCTTTTTTTCATTTCCCCCCCCCAGCTGTGACACATTAAGCAAGAGATGCTATATGTAACCACCATGATTAAATGGTAAAGTCATCTTTCAGAAAGGAAATTAGAAAAGTTACTTTCTGTCTTGGAATTTGCACTTCAAGAAAGCATTTAAAACTTTCACTCATGCTACAGATCTAAGCTGACTTCTGTATAAGCATAAAGAGGGAAATGGTCAAAGTCCCAGAGGCACTTAGGATTTCATTAGTTTTCCTGGGAAACTAGAGGTCTTGCTGTAATTTTCTTAAACTGCAATCTGTCAAATAGCCTGCTATGAGCATGACCTCTTAGTAGCAAATAAGCCCCGTTTATCAACAGGACTGTGTGCGACCACTTAAGTTTGACCGAGACCATTCTAAAAGAAAAATCCCCGCTGGCAGATCAAGTCTCTATGCCCCAAACTTAACCATAAACTTCCCACAATGAACATTAATCAATAAGGAGACTTACTGAGAGAAAAGGAATGCATGTATCAATAACTAGATTTTAACCTTTATTAGATTCCACAGTTACCCTCAAAACAACATTACTGGATGCTGAAAAGGTTTATCTTCCTAAGTTGAGCAAACATATATCCTTTGTATTTTAAAGACATGTATTCAGTTAATTCTTTGTTCTTTGGAACATGCCTAGCATGTTCTAAATGTGTAACTAAAACTATGAATTTCTTGTGGTGGTAGTCTTACAGCAAAATGAGAAAGCAGCAAGTTTCATAAATGACCAAATTCTTGAAATACTAACCTGCTCTCTGAATGGAATCTGCTAAAATTCTGTCTGATGTGTCATATTCTGTATGATAAATGTAGCCATTTTCAATAAAAGCCAGATCTATTCCTACAGAGACAGAAAAAGCATATTTGAAATTACGTAACCTAAAACCTCAAAACAAACATGTGAAAGCCTCAGATGCATTTTACACAAAACGTTGTGCTACTTTGCAGCCCACTCACTATCCTTGAAGATGAACAAAATAATCTGCTTTGCAGAAGGAAGTATAATTGAGATTCCACGTGTATTTAAAAAAGGAAACTTTAAAAGCATTTTAAAATATCTGACCTTTCTAATGTACTGTACTGATGTCATGCAAATCAAACTGATCTTTACTGAGAAACACGAGATTTACTAATCATCTCAGCTTCAGAGAAGATGAACAAGACAATTCCAAACATTTACTAGTAAAACATCAATAGGTATACATACTGAAAAGTAACAAAAAGCAGCACTGTGGAGCTATAGAAGCACCTTCCCAAATACTACATGTGTTATTTTTATTTCCCATTTGTAAGCAGCTTTTCAAATAGCCAGTCTGAAAATTCTTAAATTCTCAAAAAAGGCAATTACTTAATTTGTATTAATTACTTAATCTGTATTTGTTTAGAAAAAAACAGATGTCAGTGAGAATTCACTTACTATTTATGATCCAGGTATAATTCTGAACAAAGAAAAACTCATTGACAAAATCAGCTACTTTATTTTCAGGCTAAAAGCATACTTTGGAACAGTTTATGCCAACAGTTCATGCACATTCTTTGGAACAGAATATGCCAATAAGTTTTGTTCTAAGAATCATTTCAGAGGTATCACTGACAACTGATGTCAACAACCTGTGCCAGACAGCAAGGATTTACAGAAGTTTACATTCCCTTGAATTGTGTTTGCACTGTGTTCTCCACATTTTCTTCCACTGATAATTCTCTGTAGAACTGATAGCAAACTATAAACAGATTAGCAAAGCTAAAAAAACTGCTGTCCTGTGCTTGATTATGACCAAATAAAAGTTATGAAAACACACTCATTACTAAGTCAGTATCTCTAAAAAAGATGGTTTTGGTTTATCCATTATGTACAAACGTTTAATTCCCACAAGCAGATTATTGGCTTCATTACCAAAATGTTTCTGAACAGCATGTTTGATAGCATACTGTTAACTCTTGGATTTTCAGGAAACTTTCTGGAAAACAGCAATCTCCAAAAAAGATCCTTAACAACCTGCACAACTAAACAAATCTAAAGGCTCTTGCCTTAGAAAATAAGCAAGAAAATTTGCTCCCAAACTGAAAGACAAATCAGATTGGTGGACCTCCACATAGTGAATTGCAGAACAGCCTCCTTCTTAAAAACTTAAAATAAATGATTGCATAATGCGCATTGACATGTCTCTTGGTAACATACCTGGAATGTTGCCAAAGTCCCTGTAGATACGGAAGTCTGTATCTGCTGGGATAATACCACTCTGAAATACTTCCTGTGCTACCACAGAGGCAAATGGATGTTTGGCTGCAATTACATATGCTTGTACCAACCAAGGATTCTCAGGTCCTAACAAAAGATGAACAGAAAGTTTACAACAAATACTTTTCAAACTTCAGTTAAGATATGTATCTTTATGATAACAGGTATTTAATGCAAAGGAACTCACTAGTTTAAAAATGTTGTTGCCCCACAGGCGATATACTAAGTGAATTTGTGTTGGCTGACTTACTCAAACTTGAGAGAAATAATTAGTTACACTTGGGGAGGAAAAAAAAACCAACCAACACTGATGCCTTGACTGTTCAGTGGCAGAGTAGATGAGCCATCTCCCAAAAAAGACCCAGTATGAAGAAGACACAATCTTTAGCAGAGTTTCCAATTCATCATCTATGTATCACACCTCAAAACTGTTGTTTAGAGTCCTGCAAGTAAACATTTAAGCAGCTCTATCAGTAGAAGGAAGTCTGCAGTCCAGCTAGGGTGGAGCAGAAGTTAAATGTAGCCTGCAAAACACAGTTCTTCTGCTGCATCCTGGGCAGCAGATGGAGTTCTGATGCCAACACCTCCCTACAAAGACTTTGAAAGAACTGCTGTGAAAATTAAATAAAGCATATGAAAGTATGTGTATGCAATATACAAGATATATCCAAATCTCTTTTCCTCCTTATTACCTAGATGTAAAAGGGAAATACAACTTCTGTAATTCAGTTCTACGCAGGCTTCCCACCGACTGGGCAACTTCTGTGGCTGTGCTTTAGCCTACACACATCTAAAGATGGAGACCAACTTATTTACTACACAGGGTTGGGAAAGAGGCACAGAGCTTCTCCCATCTTTTGCTTACGAGTCACTTTCAATGCTCCTTCTAGTCTATATTGTTTATTATCAAATTATCCTAGTGTAGAAAGTGGACACAATGCAAGCTCATACCTGTTTGAAAAACAAGTTCTCTTCCTCCTACACCTGCTGCCTCCAGGTTAATAAAAGCTCTAATTGACTTGGCCCACTCATGTTGTGTAATGAAGCCGTGACTAGCCTTGATGGGAAAACAAAATTAAAAAATACAGGTCAAATATCTTTCAGACCAGCCCAAGTGTTACTTTCTATCACATATGATCATAACTCAAGATTGGAGAAGGCAACCAGATCACTTACAATACAGATGCAGAAAATCCACGTCTTCTAATTAAGCTAATATGGTCAATATCATTACTCTAACTACATTTTTCCCTTTGAAATCAAATATATTTTCCTCAGAATGTTAATGTTAACTAATGCCATTAGTTAAATAGCGTTTAACTAATATTTCAACAGATTAAATACAAGCCATATCTGCAGTTACTTTGTGAGAGTCGTAATACACAGCTTTGATGTATATTTTACAATTCCGGCATATTCTTACCTGCAAAATATTTTCTTCTGCACCATTGAATAAGAATATGATAGCATGTTGCAGGGGCTCTGATGATTTTGAAAGTATGTTAAGTATTTCAAGCATCACTGCGCAGCTAACGGCATCATCACTGGCACCTTAAAATAATCAGAATAATATGGCTTACAACAAACACACAGAATTGCAACAGAGATAAGAGTATAAAAAAGCTTTATGCTCTCTCAGTCACTTAATCTGAGGTACACTTATGTCAAGGTTTAGTATATTTTCTGCTACTGCTTGTATCCTGTGCTTATAGCTGTTAAAAGCAGTAGCAGAAAGAAAAATAATGTTCAGAAGTTGAGCAGATCCATTATTACTGTTCAAGTAAAGCAAACTAACCAGGTCACTGAGCAAGCAAAGTGATCACTGGCTATTTTTCTAAGAACAATACGAATAAACAAAGGCACAGTTTTCACTTAAAGCATACTCAAATATTGAAAAATAAACATTCCCACACAAGGCATCCCACTAAAGCATCCAAGTGGATAAAACCTCAAAGTAATGTAAGGCCAAGATTGCAAAATAAAGCAAAGGAAACACCAGAATTCACACCTTTAAAACATTCTTAAAATGCAAGTATACATTATAATACGGTATTTTCACTATCAGATGTTTTCCACCATCCTTCTTTCTTTGCAGAAAATGCTTTCTGCTCTGAGCTCAGTAGTCTGTTCCTCATGCAACACTACTCTAGACTTACTCTCACTTCCTCACACTTCCCATGCCCCTCCATTTTTTTAATCTTGATTAAGCATCCATCTTTTATGCAAGGTCTCATTTCCCTCGCTTTGCTGCAAGCTGTACCAACCTCTCTGTACCACTCTAATGCATAAAATCTGGGAGCAAACGGAGAAATTTAACTTCATTCTTTTAGGCCGGGGTACATATATGATGCCAACATGCACTGAGATGTCAGTGACACTGTGGGCAGGCTGCAGCATACTATTAGGGCAGACTTATTAGCTGCTGTTTGATTTACTCAAAAAAAAGGAGCTTTTCCAAAGCGTGCAACTTGGCAAAATTCAGACATACCTGCCCCTTCCATTCCTGAAAGAAACACAAATCTCAGCCTAAACTTTAGCCTTAGCTTATTGTATGGAGATAATTTAGAATAAATATATAAACCCAAAATCTTTACTATTTTGTATGCATAAGCAGCAGCAGCAGATATTTTACTATCTGATTTTCAAATACACTGATCACCGAGTCCTGCTGATTCTAGTTAAATAACTCATTTTTTGTAACAAAAAAACCTGTAGGCAAATAGCTTACAGAAATACACGAGAACAGAAAACAAAACGTTCTTGCTTATGTTATGTGCACTAAGAAAATGAGAGACAGAGCAGTTCCTCATTGTTGTGGCGAAGGGCGAGGCTGCTTTGCGATTAGGGGCAAGCACACAGGCTGATTTCTAGCTCCTCCATGGGTTTCTGTATAATCCTATACAAAACACTAGTATTTTTTGGCACCTTTGTGCAATGTTGGTGAAGCATTTTACTGTCTGAGTAACTGTAAAGAAAGTAACTGATGTAGACATAAGCCTGTTTTACAACTGTCAGAAACAGACACAGAATTTACATGGGGCATCAATTTAATGACAGTTTCAATAATCACTGTATTATGCTTGTGCAATATTCTTTCTAAGTCTAGGCAGCCACATTTAGACTACAAATACAGTAATTAGCATCTCTGCGGTTCATAAATCTTAGTGTGTGTAATAACAATGCAGTTATTAAGCTTACGTTGGAAACTCATCTCACCTAAATATAACCAAGGAGAAAGAGAAGTTCTGCATATTACTTGTTGACAGAAAAAAAGGCACAAAGAGTAGGGCAAAGGCTTTGTTTCTCTAGCTAATAATCGTTTTCTCAGTAAGACTAGTTGCATGTGCTAAAAAACAAAAGGTTTACCTGTCAAAATAATATATTGTGGGGTGTAAATGAAGAAACTTCTGTACAAGCAGTACTGTTGGTGACTGAACTCTACAGTAACAGGCACACGCGCATGGCTGAGTGTTACAACAGATGTTTTCATGTGGTTCTCAGTTCCCTACCTTCCTGGTACCTTTAAAATCATTCATAACAAAGCTGTTTACACCCTTGCTGCAATAATTATTTAACATGATTACATTTATAAAATGCGGGGGGACAAGTGTAAGACAGTATGCAACAGTGAAAGTAGTGGCAAGATGTAGACACTACCAAGGCAACAGAACCTTAATCTTTCATCGCCAAAGTCTTTTGAGACGGAAGCTTTAAATGCAAAAATTAAAAAAGGTCTTAACTTAAGGATATCAAACTAAAAATTTGAGATAAAGAGAGAAAGTATGATAGCAGCAAAGGGAGAGGTAAACACAGACTGGTTAGTGGGGGTGGGAACAGTCTGTGGCATAAAGCATCCTTTGAAAGGAAAACCAGGATTAAATCAGTACAGAAGTACGGGAAGATGAAAGACCTGAACAACAGGTGGAAGCAGCACATGAACTACATGCATAAGCAGGGAATTATAACAAAGGTAGATATAATCAAACTTTTTAGAAGCCTAAATATAGTTAGACTGCAAATCTGTAATTTGCTGCCTCCCATAAACTGAAAGTGAAATCCTTGCTTTTAACAGAACCAAACTGTCACTCTAAATACTGAATCTCTCTGATATCCAGCAGACTAGTTGACATATGCAGTATTCTAGCATGTGACTTATAAGGCTACTTGATAGAAGAAGACAGCAAGCCAAGCCCTGTGGCTCATGTAATATACAGAAATGCAAAATTAACATGTGGACCTACCCGGGGTATTTGGTACGGAATCAAAGTGACAATTGGATAACACTGCATGCTCAGCTCCATTTCGGGGTTCCAGCTTCACTACAACATTGGTTATGTTTGCATAGTAACTAGTAAAGCCTCCTAAAAAGTCAATACTGAAGGAGCCTGTGGGCCTCTGTATGTCTACAGATATCTTGTGAGCATCTGTTCTTTCTCTTTCTATTGCCCTAATTTGTTCTAAGAGGTAATTAACCGCAAGAACTTCATTTTCTGGACTTCCAACTGTTCTGGGCCCAATTGCTGTTATGTTGTCAAGATATCCCCTGTAAGAAATAAATTACACATTCAGCATCAACATGGTCAACATTTCGTATGTGACTTATCTACAACCGTAAGATTTTTGGACATACTTCTATTTCAAAACTCACAGTATGTGGAAGAGACTAAAGACAACTAGAAAGTAATGCAGTTGAGATGCTAAAGATCATTACAGTAATGGCCATATAGTACCAACCTTTAGTGAGGGCTCCTCACCCTACCTATCACTATATTAAACCAAACTACTCGTTTTCTGGTTTGAACATACCAACCCCAAAAGAAATAAGAGGGTAAATGGAGAAGCTAAAGATTTTCTCTTTAGCAAGGTTCTGCATATGCATACCTGCTCTTCCCTGGACGTCTGAATGAGTACACTCTGAACAAGATTTACACCAGCTAAAAATCTGCAAAGAAGCTTTCCCAGACACCAAGTACTTTATAACAGTACCAGAATTAAACTACGTAGGACGCATTGCTTGACGGGCCGAAAACAGCACCCTTAAAAAGCAGCCAATGCCAGAGCTGGCACCCTTGCAGTATTTTTACCAACTTTCCACAAGCGCCCAACCTCTTGCCACGGCAATGAAACACACAACCACTCCGCAAGGAGCACGACCGGCAACGGATGGGAAAGGCCCGCACCAGCTCGGCCGCCCCGCAGGACTCCCCGAGCGCAAACCCGCTGCACCCACACCAAGGACAGGACGCTGCAAACTAGGGCTCCTCCGTGCA